ACTAGTAAGAACAAGCCGTGATTAGAAGCTTGGAATTTTCAGCCCCACTCCCTATCCTTCAGAAAGAGAAGAGGAGCTGAAAAAGGAATAACTGATCATGCCTACGTGAGAAAGTTTCCATAAATCCCAATATGGAGGTTCAGAGAACTTCCAGGTTGGCAAGCACATACACACTAGGAGGGTGACACACCCCAACTCCACAGGGACAGAAGCTCTTGAGCTTGGGACCCTCCCAGACCTCACCCTATGTGTCTCTTCATCTGGCTGTTTATCTTTATACTTTTTCAAATTCTTTGATAAACTGGTAAACGTGTTTTCCTGAGTTCTGTGAGCTGCTCTGGCAAATTAATCAAACCTGAGGAAGAGATCATGGTAACCTCCAATTTGTAGCCAAACTGGACAGAAGTTGTGAGTAACCTGGGGACCAACTACTTACAATTTGCATCTGAAATAGAGTGGGAGCACTGTTGTGGGACTAAGCCCTTTCTTAACATGTGTGATCTGACATTATCTCTAGGCAGTGTCAGAATTGAGTTAAATTGTAGGACACCCAGCTGGTGTTGCAGAGAATTGCTTAGTGTGGGAAAAATTTACACATATTTGGTGACCAGAATTGAAGTGTTTTGTGTGAATAGTAAGCAGGACACAGGAGAAAAACTCAAGGAGGCAGATTGCACTAAGTTTTTCTAATACAGTGGTTTTAAAAAGAGACATAGATGGGAGGTCTAAGCATTTTATATCACCATGTTCAGTCAGTTCCTCATAAAAATAGGAATATAGATTACTTAGCTCATGGGGCTCCTTAAATATACTAAAATTATGAAATCCTTTTTCAAATGTTAAGTGTCCAATAATTACTTGGTAATAGAGTACTGGCCTCGTATGGCCAAATACACGAATGAAGCTGCCTGTAATACTTCCTAAAAAGTTGAGTATATTCCTGACTTCCCTAAAACAATGAGCAATTTAATGTAGCTACTTTGGAAAAAATGATTTCAGGTTCTCAGTTTTTCCCCCCTTCCCTTTTACAATGGGTTAATACTAGAGCCCGGTAACAGGCCCAGGTGTATCTGTTCCCTATGGCTAAAGTTTCTGGAGGCACTGAGCCCATCAGCAGGAACAGGGAAGTGGCTGGGTAGTCAGGTCCAGGTAGCAACTTGGTGAAAAGAGGAAGCAGTTCTCCTGGCCATGACTTAAAAATTCAGAATCAGGGCTGATAATTCTTACATCTACCTACTATTATGCAAATGTTTGATGGAAACATTTCTTGATAACTGTTGTTCTTGTTATCCTGAGATCATTAAATCACATATGATGTAAAGGCTAAGAAAGAGTCAAAATTCATGAGAAACTGTACTGGATAAAAACTCCCTGTTATATGTCCTATGAATTCTTCATTTTCAGCTTTTATCAAACCACAATTGAACTCAATAAAACAAGTCTCTTTCACCAGCCTATTTCTTGTAAAACAGTGTGAAAGTGAGTTGAATGATGGCAACCTGAAAGATTTAAAAGGCTCCAAAGTAGTTTTGCATTTAAAAGTACACTTCTGGTAAGATTATAAGTGATGCTTCCTCCTGCCTCTGTTTTCCAAACTCTTTGAATGACTTTGTAATTTTAAAAATTGTGTATTAGAATAAAATCAGCCTGTCATAAAAATAATTCTCCCTGCAATAACATAAGAAAAAATTCTGATAGTCACAGTTATTCATGGGTGCCATTATGGGATTACTTAGCATCTTTTAAGGAAATCCTATGGGAGTCAAACTCACTAGTATGATTTAAATATCTCCAAATAAATAAAATGTTAGTTTGAACCACTAAAAAAGACTCTTTAATGCTTTAACTAATAAAAAAGTAAATTAACTAGAGATAATTACTTACTACCTTTGAAGGAGAAAGAGAATAAAAGTAATTTTCCTAGAAGCTCTTTATTTATTAGCATCTTTTAAGGCTAAATCTTTTAAAGTTCACTTGTAAAATAATAGGAAAACAGAGTGACTATATAGCATAGTGATTAAGAGTGTGGGCTCCAGAGTCAGATTATCTGGGTTCAAATCTTAGTTTTTACCACTTATTACATCTGTGAATTTAGGTAGATTATTTAGGCTCTGTAGAACTTCACCTGAAATTTAACTTAGATTGAAAAAAATAGCATTGAGTGTAAAATTTGCAATACATTTAATTTTCACTTGAATTTAATATTTCTTCCCACTTCTCTGTCAATATAGAACACTAAATAAAACCCACTTCTAAAAAATTCAACTAATATGAACAGTTTTGCAATATCAAATTAAATTTAACACCTAGTCTTAATAAAGAGACAATCCTTTTTTAACCTACTTTGTTATTGGACTT